CACCATTGTCTCCATACTACTCATAACTGAATCACTTTTTAGTATAAAGAATATAATAAAGAAAGCTTATCTAACTTTATTTCAACCACATAGTTGGTCCAATATGAGGTATTGCCCCCCCAAAATCCTAACTTTTTAGTAGTCAGTCCTGTAGTTCATATCAGTCTAACAAGCCTTGTATGGTTTAAGCTCCTTAATTTATAGAAAAAAGGAGCAAAATGCAAGTGAGGAATTTGAATGCAACCTTCTTTCATAGATTTACTCATATGGACTCTGCATGGCCTTGAAAAAAATGTGAAGCTTTGCAATTATGTCAATAGGCTTTGAATCAGGCCCTCTGTGATAGTGCTTAATGGACAAATGAGAACCATGGTTAAGTGCCATTTCAGTATTCATTTTCATATTTCTTCTTCCAAGAAAGATATATGGGGGGGGGGGGGGTGCAGTGGTGTGTGCATTTCCATTCAGGCAGTGCTATTGGAGTCAATACACTTCATGGCTCATTATAATGGACCTGATTCCTGATAATCTCTTGTCATTCCACAGCTATTAATGACCCCCTATCCTTTTTAAGGGTCTTGATAGTCCATTAATCAAGCTAGTCTTTTTCTGCAGTTTTACTGCCTGCTAGCTATTTCTGGTAACATCTCTCTCCTATTTCAAAGCCCTGCACACTATACGTAGTTTTACCTAAAAAACCTAGGTCAGGTGAGGTTATATCAAGCCAGGTGAATAGTTACTCAGATATGGAAATGATTTACAAAGAAGTGTTGGATGCACCACCAAGATTCTCAGAAAGGCTAGATTTTGTTTTATGAATCTGAAGAAGAAATGTACATTTAGCTATAATTACTACAGGACTAATAAAATAATATATGTGGATAATTTTTGTCTAGTTTGTTGTGTTTTTAAACTACATTTATAAACTAGCAAATTAGTACACATTCCAATAAAGTTATATTTATTTTCGTTTTGCTCTTAAGTGGAATAATATAGCACTGGGTCCCTATCATATTAGTAATTTTCTAGCTTCTCTTTAGCTTAAGAAAAATATGTTTTGTGCTGTATGCGATGATGTACCACAGCGCCTGCACCTCCCCTTTGAAAATCCTAGATCCCCCCATGGATATATCATCCTACATGTGAAATGCACTCGGAGGAAGGAATCATTCATATGAACATAAGTGCCATACTGCATCAGACCAGTAGTCCATCTAGCTCAGTATCCTATCTGCAATTCATCTAAACTTCTA